AATCAAAGACTGACTAGATGGAGTTTGTTGTTACAAGAATACAACATAACAATTAAGCATTTCAAAGGCAAAGACAATGTTATTGCAGACGCCTTGTCAAGAGTATCGTAAACATACTAGATTTTGTATTAATGTACATGTTTTACAATTTAAGTTTTTCATTGACATTCAAACTTTTTAAGGGGGGAGGTGTTGTGAGATGTGTATTGTTTCATTATGTATATAATTAGTAACATTAAGTTTCTTCAACATTCCAGAGTGGTCAACATGTTTGATCATTTTATCTAGAACATTCTTAAATTTTGTATATGTCCAGATTGTTCCAGTAATATCATGTTTTAACAATTTCTAGAATATTCTACATTTCTAATACTGTATAAATACCCTGTCAATTCGATGCATAGAGATACTATACTTTGGTCGTACAAGCATCATTGAGGTATTACTGGGACATATTTTCACTGGGACATTGTGTGCAGTAACGGACACTCTGATGTATGTATTTTTAGATTCTTGCTAAGTTTGTACTTTATGTTTCATATACTTATTATATATTACTGTAAATAAATTATTGTTAAGTTTAAATTGTGTTATTGATCTTTGCTGGCATTTAGGGTTATTCTGACCCATAACAATTAACATATATCGAATTGAAAAGATAAAAGCATTAGTACAACCACTAGATGGCAGAGTCTTTATCCTTATCTATTTTATTGATAGTTAGATATAGATTTAGGAAATAAAGCGTACAAAAATATAATTCTTAAACTCGAATACAAGATTTTGTACTTGCACATATAGATATAGAAATGCTTGTTTTGAATGAATTATAGTGCACAAATTCAAAAAAGTTACATCTGTACATTGATTTAAGTTCTTAATTATTTTATTCTATGGTAATATTCTAACGTTATATGTACTATTTATGTCCAAGATCTGTGTGAAAAAACGCATGTCTCGATTACTGTTATTTAACGAATTATCATTACATTGTTTCTGGTGTAAAATGTTGTGAAGACAATTACCTGAATTTTTGAAAGCATCCTTCATCTGTGGATGGAAAAAGAAATAAAAAAATTATTTGGATATTTAAAAAAAAACAAACTATTTTTACAAATTAAAATAACTCAATCTTAAAGTCCTACCGCATACTGTTAAGAACCCTTGAAATGTTTGGTCTAATTTTATTAAAATTTTATTTAATTAAAATTGAAACGCAATATTATAGCTATTGACTGATAATGATTATAACTGGTCAGGAGAGAAATGCAATGGAGTCTATGCAATACAGATTCTGAAACCGTCATACTGATTCACATGTATTTGGTTCCTATACCGAGCTAATTGATCTGTCTGATCACCATCTTTCCCTTCCTGAAAGGTCTTCGCCCCCGAAGACTAACCCAGACTCTTTCATGGCAGTTTTTCTTTCAGTCTCTTTTTTGCACTTTTGAATCATCCTAAGCTTTAATCAAAATCTTTATGTTTATTTGCAAAAATATTGTAGAAGTTAAGCAGATTTAAAAAAAAAAAGATTTTTCAATATTGCTTCACAAAATTTTTTTTAAATGTGTAATTATCTGCAAAATTAGAGATTAATTCAATAATAATTAAGCATTTTACAGGTCATTGAAATTCCGACTAAAGTATTAGTCTGTTTCAAGAGCCAAGGGCCAAATGTAATCAGTAAGGAGAGAAAATGCCTTGGATCAGACTTCAAGCAGAAATATGCATAAATATATTTCCATAAAGAATTCTTGTAAAAACAGTCGATTTTTTATCACGTAATATAAAGGTTATTCATTTCAGAGCCAAGTATTTTTTTGTTATCTAATTAACTTTTTACATATATATGTCTTCTACCTTTGTTATTCTTTGACGAGAAACATTATTGGAATATAGTGGACATCAGGTTTAGACACGAAATATGCTCAGACAAAATTATTAAAAAGCTATTGTTTTTCAGTGCACTTACATATACTGGCGGCAGTGGACGGTATATCTTTCTTAGGACAATCCTCTCCAATACATCTCCTTTTATCTATCATGCTCCTCTCCGAATCGTAGAACGGACATTCTCCTGAGTATTGAATTAAAAAGAAACAAAGGGTATATATTGTTTTTGTTTTTGTTTAACTATAGAAAATTTTAAACTCTGATGCCGTCAAACATTAAGTTTTAAAAATAGGAGATTTTATAAAAATTAATAATCTCTCAGAAGATGCATTTTTAATTCAGTTAATATTGCTTTAAGTCAACAAAAGACCTGCATTTTTGTTTGTTAAAAAAAATACATATATATACATGTGTACTAGTTGAAGAATCCACTATCAGTAAGATCTCCATACTATTAAGTTACTTTAATCGTAGATTACTTGGAATTTTGCTGGGGGTTTTTTACGAATAAAAGTAGATTTTGATTATGAACGATTATGTATAAGTAAATTTTCCTATTGTTTACTCATTCAAATGAATTTAACTGTGGGTTGCCAGAAAAAAAACTTTTACTTCTACATGTTATTCGACAAATCTATATTAAAAAAAATTGCTTCTCGACGTGTATATTAGTTACTTTTTCTTTTCATTACCAGTATGAGTAATTCTATCTTTTGGCTATCTGAATAAGTGACTTTTACATTTTTTAACTGTAAGTAATTTTAATGTTGGTTACCTGTGATTTTACTGTTGTTTACTTGTACACGTAAAAAATGTTTGTGTATGGTTATCTGTGAGTAACTTTTATGTGCATACGTGACTATTGCTGTTTTTTACCTGCCGGGATGGTTACCGCCTTTATACACACCCGTCCATGTCTATTTTTGTCATCAATCAGACAGTGGGGGATCTGACCTTCATTACACCTATTCAGGAATTGGCCCTCATAGAACTCTGATAATATCAAATTCGGACAAGTCTTGTCAGGGGACAATGGTTCAAATCCAAAGCAAACCACTCCAAAGAGTAAAACTAACGCCAACGTCTTCATCTCTAAAATTGAGGAAATGCTTGATAAAACTTTAGTAGAACTGAAATCATGGCAAAACAAAGAGGAAGAGAAAATGGAAAATGTCATTAATACAAAGAAATGCAATGTTTAATCTCCCTGATTATCGGTATTTAGACTTTCTGCATTTCTGCTTGAAAGCCATAAATTGTCTCCATATTAAGAATTTTGGCATCTGTTCCAACACAGAACAAAACTGAGTAAAAGATTATCCAGTTTGTTATGGAACTGCTATTTTTTTTTATATCATTTGATGGTCTTTTAAATATTCATAATATACATTATTTACGCTCGAAACATATCAGTGGTAATATGATACATGAATGTTAGGAAAAACTGTTTATTCTATATATAGATACTGTTGTATATAGCTAAAAGTGTTTTGTTTTTATAGTCTGTAAAACTTTTATGTTTTTTTTATATTTTGAAGCTTTCTTTGGTGTTATTTTGTTATTGGTGTACTTTTGTTGGTAGAGTCCCAACCTGTCAATCCTATAGATATGTCCAAAAACGTTTTCCTTCTACACAATTTCGCATTTTTTATTTAGATATTTTGTTGCAAGATTGTTGATATATTTTGATACACCTAAAAAGCACAGAAAATCATACTATAAGAAAATGTATATAATTACCTAATAGCATGCTGGAAAAAAAGGATATTAATCTCTAACACAAAATAGAGAAATCTTTCTTTAAAAGAAATTATTTTAGAGAGGAGTAACTTGTTATTTTAACAATTATTGTCTAGGGAAAAATCAGACAAAACGGTTTACAGGTTTCACATATAGTAAACTGGGGACTGCATTCAAATGCACCTTCTAGATAAGGAGTATATTTAAACGAGCATATAGATAATTTTAAGAAGCACTTTAAAGTCTGGGTGCAGGTATTCATAACCATGTTGACATATCTGTTTATGTTAGTCTCGAGTACATTATCTCTCTATGGAATGAAACAAAAATTAAATCATTATTTACTTCAGAATCCTTGTTATGGGGGAAGTGTTAAATTATTTGGGGCAAATAATCGTAAAGTGTTTCACTCAAAAGAGACATAGATATGAATATAAAATTATTAGTTTGTTAGAGGTCAAGACATGAAAGAATGCAAATTTTACTTACACTAATATACGAGTAATATATTATCATTAAAAGCAACTGTTTGTATTTTTCTTTGTACTTACGGTGAAGAAAAAAAAATACTCCACAAAGTATAAGAATTCAGACAGGAATTTTAAAAGAGACCGATCAATATTTAAAAGAATTTCAAGGACTAGAGTTCTTGTCTATCTTATTCAAATGATTTATTAAGAAACATGCTTAGACATATACAGAGTCGAATTTGAAAAATATATGCATGTATATATCTGTTCGGAAGAAAGGGGTTTTTTTCCTTAAACATTAGTCAGCATGTCACAAATTGTATTCAACAGCGTTTAATGTATGTACAGAATAAAAATGAATTGAACTCATCAGGCGATTAAAAATTAATTCTATATTATTTTCAGCTGAAGGAAATGCATGAAACTGCAAAATACTTTTACTATCGCCCTTGTCATATATTTTAATGCCCTTCTGTATGCTTAAGGGCGCCTCATTTAGATAGCATAAAGAAGGGTCGGCAAAATTGGCTCTTTCACTACGCTCTCCTGGGCTTTAAGTTTAAGTGAGCTTTTCATCATTCGGCATCTGTATTTGTACGTCTCTAAAGTTATTTTCAACCAGAAGTCTCTGTCGAGACTGTAGCTCTACTGGTTTGTACTTATAACAAAGGATGAGGAAAGAAGCCATTGCCATCAGACCAGAACTATAGAAGGAGTAGTGTTTTAAAGGAATTTCACAGACATTTCTATTTTTAGTAACAATGGCAACACTGTTCATCTAAATCAAAATCCGATGCACAATTCTATGTATCTTAGTGTTGTCTACTTGTGTGCCAAGTTATATTGAAATCAGACCAAAATTGTAGGAGTAGAGTTTTCAAGGAATTTCACAGAAAGTTCTATATTTAGTAAATATGGCAACACTGTTCAACGAAATCAAAATCCGATACACTATTCTATGTATCTTAGTGTAGTCTACTTGTGTGCCAAGTAATATTGAAATCAGACCAAAACTGTAAAAGAAGTAGCATTTTAGAAATTTCACAGAAAATTCTATTTTTAGTACATGTAACCATGGCAACACCGTTCATCGAAATCACAAACCGATGCACTATTCCATGTATCTTAGTGTAGTCTACTTGTGTGCCAAGTTATATTGAAATAAGACCAAAACTGTAGAAGGAGTAGCGTTTGAAAGGAATTTCAAAGAAAATTCTATTTTTAGTAACCATGGCAACACCGTTCATCGAAATCATAAATTGATGCACTATTCTATGTATCTTAGTGTAGTCTACTTGTGTGCCAAGTAATATTGAAATCAGATAATAACTGTAGAAGAAGTAGCATTTTAGAAATTTCACAGAAAATTCTATTTTTAGTAACCATGGCAACACCGTTCATCTAAATCAAAAACCGATGCACTATTCCATGTATCTTAGTGTAGTCTACTTGTGTGCCAAGTTATATTGAAATCAGACCAAAACTGTAGAAGGAGTAGCGTTTTAAAGGAATTTCAAAGAAAATTCTATTTTTAGTAACCATGGTAACACCGTTCATCAAAATCAAAAATTGATGCACTATTTTATGTATCTTAATGTAGTCTACTTGTCTGCTTAAGTTATATTAAAATCAGACCAAACTGTAGGAGGAGTAGCGTTTTGAAAAATTGTTTACAGACAGACGGACAGACAGACAGACAGACAGACAGAGACAGACAGACGGACGGACGACGGACACCTTACTATCGCATAAGCTCTTCTGGTCTCTGACCAGTAGAGCTAAACATCAACTTAGCCCATCTTAACCAAAGCTAGCACTAAGTAAGGTAAGTTAAAAGGCATATTATAAATTGTTCAAAGAATGATTAATCTTCTTCCAAGGGGATATACTAGTAATTAAGAAAATACAGTTATCTTCAACAAAAAACTAAGAGCGGAACAGACATGAACCTCTAAAACATCAAAGGTGGGATCAGCAGCCATGGAGGAGTAAGCATCCCCTACCAATCACCCCCCCCCATGGACTTTGTCACGATTAGGAGAAAAGTAAAAATCCGTTGTCGATTCAGTGTGTAACAATTAGTTTGAAAACATCCATCAGTATTTGATTAATAATAATTTGTATTTGCTGCGAATTTCATTATATCGACCATAGAACTTGGAAAAAAAGACTTTTCAAACGTTTCTATTCATATTCCTACTTCATCAATTTGTTTGTCTAGAGCTTGCCTCATTTTGCTAAAATGTTCTTAGGTAGAGCATTGAATCGACTGAGAGATATAAAGCCTATTATGCAGGTGATAAGGGTAAGTGTACAGTTAACAACAGCATAAATTAAAAAAAAAATTCTGGTCGATTCGATTTATTAGATTTACATGTATTTTGAACAGTCTGAATCCTGCAAAATGTCTGGATAATTTGCCGATTTGACATTTCAAAATGATGCAATCTGTGTCATGATGCCTTGTTACGTTTTTGTATGAATTTCGGTCCAGTTATTTATTACCCATCCACCCCCACCACCACCCGTAGAAAAACTACTTAAGTAAGATATAAGCAGGCTTTAATCACCAACCAAAAATAAACATAATTTAATTTTAGGGTCCCCAAAGCATGCTGACAATATAAAATCGAGAGAGCTTTGAATTATAATTGATTTTAACATCTTGCACTTTATAATAGCATTTTTCTTAATTAAAATTAGGTCCTGTAGACATATGAACTATAAAACGGCAAAAACAAGAAACATAAAAAAAGTTATAATGAAAACAGAAGAAATAATATTTGTAAATAAAATAATCTATTATCCACTGGCATACTGGAGGAAGGAAATAGTCTATAGCAGAAGAAAAAAAATCAAAAATGTTTAGAAATGATATTTATAGACCTGTAAGAGAGTTATTTTTAAATTATTTCTTAGGGAAAGAAGACAAAACGCTTTACGGGTTATATCTACACCTTTAAACGGAGTCTGCATTTAAATAAATCGATCCTATATGAATTTCGGGAATAGAAGTACATATGTAGAGGATCTTTAAATTTCTGGGTATTCATAATCATGCTGACATATCTGTTTAAGTTAGTTTCGGGTGCATATATACTTTATCTACTGACTTAAACAAAAGCGGATTTTCCTAAGAAAGAAAACTGTAATGTTTAATGCAGGTCATAACAGCATGCATGTAAAGTGTTGCACTGTCTATTTTCACAATAATTATTATCATTAAAAAATGTCTGTATTTATTTCTATATACATGTATGTACTTACTGAGATAAAATTTCAGTCTAGAGAGGAACATCTTTAGATGACTGTTCAATATTTTAATAACCTTGAAGGAAGAGAGTAAGTTTTATCTATCTTATTCAAATGTTTTAACAACACTATAAGAAACATGATACGACACATCGGTATATTAAGAGTCACTCTAGATCTTAAATTGAAATCGGTATAAGTTTGCTGGAGAAAAGTATTTTCTTTTCTTATTGAAAAATCGCTAATTATCAAATTCAAATTCATTTTGGTTCTTTGGGCAATTGAAAATATTCAAAACTGACATGATTTTGACGAATTTCTTCCTTAGAAATTGATGGGAACTATGAGTTTAAGTTGAATTACCACTGACTGAAAGAATTAAATCCAAGTTCTTCTAAAATACAATTCATATGAAACACATGGAGATAACGAAGAGTATTCCAAAATCAAAAGTCCACAAAACAATTCGAAACAGGAGCACAGCAAACATGGACCTCCACAACATCAGAGGTGTGATCAGGTGACATGGAAGAGTGAGCATCCCCTGTCGATCGATCACACCCACCGTGTTCTCCTTGTCATGATCGGGAAACAACGGAAAAATCCATCGTCAATTCAGTGTAGAAACAATGGACTAACAATTAGCATGAAAAACGCCTGTCAGCACTTGACTCAATGATATGCAATTGATCTGCTGACAATTAAGGTCCTTGTATCGACCATAGAACTTACGAAATGATGACTTTAAACGACACCGCTAAAATTCTTGTTTCATCAACTTGTTGGACCATAGAACTTAGAAAATGATGACTTTAAACGACACTGCTGAAATTCTTGTTTCATCAACTTGTTTGTCAATAATTTACCTCGTTTTAGAAAGTGTTCATACGTAGAGCATGCTCTTGCGTATCGAATCAACTGAGATATATAAACTCCGTATCTGCAGGTGATGAAGGTATATTGCTGCACATAAGTAATGAAGGTTGATGAAAGAAAAGTTAAAGTCACTGTTCGTTATTTCCAGATATTTCATTGATAATTTGAAACATATTGTAAACTATGTTATACATTCTACAGATAGTGGCATTTTATTTGCACATAAAGATCCATATTATATTTCAGCGAGGTTAAACACAGATGATACAAACAATTTTTTTTTGTTTGGAGGAGAATAAGTATCATGTCACAAGCTAAGAAAAGCGGATAAGTCTTAGAATTTTTTCTCCTAAGAATTGGAGAATGAAATAGGCTTGTAAAATATTACTAATATTTCAATAAAAAAACAAATATTGACAAATCACACTCAGTAAAGGTTTACAGGTTAAAATAAATTTCAGAATAAGTTAGCTTGGTGCTAAAAATGTAATATAAAAATTAGAAAAATATACCAAGCCAGGTGAATTTTGTGAGGGAAAGCAAAATGGTATAAATCACCCTATATCATATGGGCTGATTTTTACCATTTTGCTTTTCCTCATAAAATTCACCTGGCTTGGTATATTTTTCTAAAGTTTATATTACACTTTTAGCACCAAGCTAACATATTCTGAAATTTATTTTCATCTGTAAACCTTTACTGAGTGTGTTTTATCCATTTTTATAATTTTATTGAAATGTTACTGACATTTTCCAAGTCTATTTCATTTTCCAATTATTAGGAGAAAAAATTCTAAGAATTATCCACTTTTCTAAACCTGTGACATGAATATTAAGTCTCCTTCAAAGATAAAATTTGTTTGTATCATCTGTCCGTAAACAAAGTTTTATTTAGAGCAGATTTGACAATTGCTTGTAGATAATAATCAGACTGTAACTTTTATTGATTTTGCACTAGGTAATATTTAATCTAGCTTAAATGGACTTTGAATGCATCTTGT